ACGATCGGACGCGAATAAAAATCCGATCTCCCTCCCCCCCCCCCTCTCTCTCTCTCTCTCTCTCTCTCTCTCTCTCTCTCTCTCTGTCGTTTCGTCTCTCTTCTTCCTATCTGCGAAAGCAGGTAATTACTCCAAGTTTATACTCAATTTCTCGCGAGTAAGAGCGACGCGAGATTACGTCCCGGGTTCACACGATATTGTAAACACGCTGATACTTCACCGGGAGTTAACGTCGCGGACACGTACCGGCGCGCGGCAATAAATTACAACGCAGATTAGAATAGTTAATGCCAGCGCCGTTCGAACGCGACTCTACCTAGTAAATCTTGCAATGGTATTGCGCAACAGCGGGACCGAACGCTGGGGGCGGCGCGGGTGCAAGTCTCATGTCGGACCGAGGCCCGTGTCTGGCGCTATTAACAATACATCAAAATCACACGGAGAAAGTATACGGTCGGCCTCGCGGAACGTCCTCGCGCGCGGGAGGATATTTCACGTCGGGAATAACGCATCTGTCACTTCGAAGCGCGAACGAGAGGATCTAAATAAAAAAAAAAGGAGATGGGATTTTTTTTTTGCACGAGCGATCCACGGAACGCGTGAAAAATTATACACGTCCGAGGTGGAGAACGCGTCTCCCCCCCCCCGTCTCCCCCCGACATAAGCTAGTTTTCTCCCCGCGCTTTTCCACGTTTTCCCTCTCTCCGAGTGTTCGTCGATTACGTAAAGAAGGTACGATGTCCCCACACAGCACATGTAGGTTCTAAGAAAGTTGTGAAAATATCAAAAGTATATCGAGTATATTCTACAAATATTCGAAATACGTACTAGAATATACTAAGTATGTACTAAGAATGCTACTATGTCCGAGTTTTCATACTTTTAAGTATGGACATGCCATGGTGGAAAAAGAAAGGTGAGTCAAGGCGCAGCGTAATTCCACCGACCAATAGTAAGCTGCCACCATGTCAGCCATTACTGCGGGGGAACCAGCAGATATTCAAAATAATAGAATGAATAAAATACATTTTCTTGCATAAAGAAGTGGCCGTTTATTTATGTTTTCGTGAACAAGCAAATTAGGATGCATTTTTATTTCTGAACAAAATATAAGTCACTGAAAAATATTTTATTATGACATATTTTATTATGACAAGTTTCCTAACCTCTTCACATTAATATTCGTTTAGTTCTGTATTGCAGAAGTTCTTTACCGTGCCAAACTTCCATATCAAAATAACAAATTAAAAATTAAATTACCTGTTGAAAAAGTCACCGGAGAAACTATCTGAATGAATAAATATATCTTTTTAGAAGATTTTAACAACTCTCAGATTACAGTCATGTATTATTATACAGGGTGAGTCTTTCCATATCCGACAAAATTTTTGAGAAGGTAGAACGGATCCAGATGAATGGAAAAGTCCTGTACCATTTTGCAATTTTCGTAATAGTTAACGAGTAATTAATTATTAAAAATC